CGGCACATATGGCTGAACGGAGGCAACGTAATTGACGTAAATGTAAAAGTAGACTTGCTTGCTATTTAGGTACATTTGTATCACAAATATACCTTAATGTTCCTTTCGCATGACCGATGCAGGCGATAAGCAAGAAGAATCAAAAATATTTAGAGACTTTTTTTTCAAGTTAACTACTACTTTTACAAAATTAATTGAACCATTGACACTTTGGCTCTTGAAAGCAACATTTAGGTGCTTATCGGCACATATAGCTTAGTGGAGGAAACGCAATTGACGTAAATGTAAAATTGAACCTGATTGCCATTTAGGTAGTTTTGTACCACAATTGTACCTCAACGTTGCTTTCGCTTGACCAGCGTTGCTTTTGCACTTTTTTGTTAACAATTGATTTAACAATTTTATTTGAATTATTAGAAATTTTGCTTCATGAAAGCAGCATTCAAGTACTTATCGACAGATACAGCTTAGTGGAGGGAAATTTGTTGGCCATTTAGGAACGCATGTATAACAATTGCACCTATATGTTGCTGTCCCATCACCGATGTAGACGACTAGCATGCTTTATCAAATAGTTTTATAGAATTTTGTAAGATTAACAACTAATTTAACAAAATTATTTAAATAATCCACATCTTGGTTGGTGCAAGTAACATTAAGGTATTCATCGGCACATATAGTTTTTGCATCACGATGTAGCAAGCCTTATCAAACATTTTTACGGGATTTTTTCAGGTTCACAACTAATTTACCAAAATAATTGAATCATTGACATCTTGGTTCCTGAAAGCAACATTTAGGGACTTATCGGCACATATGGCAATTGACGAATATGCAAAGTGGGCCTCTGTGCCATTTAGGTACACTTGCATCACAAGTACACCTAAATGTTGCTTTCGCAGCACCGATATAGGCGATAAGGAAAATTATCAAATAATTTTATACTTTTTTTCAGGTTAACAATAACCTTAACAAAAAAAATTGAATCAACTATTACCATCTTGATTCCTGAAATCAACATTTAGCTACTTATCGGCACATATGGTTTATAGGAGGTATCGCAACTGACGTAAAGGTAAAACACGACTTTCTCGCCATTTAGGTACCCTTCTATCACAAATGTACCTATATGACTCTTTTGCATCACCGATGTGGGAGATAAGCAAAAATATCAAATAATTTGTTACTTTTTTCAGGTTAACAACAAATTTAACAAAAATAATTTGAACCATTACCATCTTGATTCCTGAAAGCAACGTTTAGCTACTTATCGGCCTATATAGCTTATGGGAGGTAAGGCAACTGACGTAAAGGTAAAACAGGACTTGCTCGCCATTTAGGTACACTTGTATCACAAATGTACCTATATTAGTAATTTATTCAACAAAATTAACTGAATCATTGACATCTTGATTCTTGAAAGCAACATTTGAGTACTTATCGGCATATATGGCTTAGTGGAGTTAACGCAATTGACTTAAATGTAAAAGTGGAATTGCTTGCCATTTAGATACACTTGTATCACGAATGTACCCAACTATTGCTTTCACATCACCGATGTAGGCAATTAGCAAGCATTATCAAAAAATTTTATACACTTTTAATCAGGTTAATAATTTATTCAACAAAATTAACTGAATCATTGACATCTTGATTCTTGAAAGCAATCTTTAGGTTCTTATCGGGACATATAGCTTAGAGGAGGAAACGTAACTGAAAAAACTGTAAAAATGGACCTGCTTGCAATTTGGGTTTAATTGTATCACAGGTGTGCCTAAATGTTGCTGTCACATTACCGATGTGGGCGATTATCAAGCATTATCAGTTAGTCTTATACATTTTTTTCCAGTTAACTATTTATTTAACAAATTTATTTGAATCATTGACCACTTGATTCCTGAGAGCAACATTAGGTAATTATCGACAAATATGGCTTAGTGGAGGTAACGCAACGGACTTGATTGCTGAAAGCAATACTTAGGTACTTAACTGCACATATAGCTTAGTGGAGAAAACGCAACTGACTTAAATGTAAAAGTGGACTTGCTTGCCATTTAGATACACTTTTATCACGAATGTACCTAAATGTTGCTTTCGCATCACCGATGTAGGCAATTAGCAAGCATTATCAAAACGTTTCATACACTTTTAATCAGGTTAGTAATTTATTCAACAAAATTAACTGAATCATTGACATCTTGATTCTTGAAAGCAACATTTGAGTACTTATCGGCATATATGGCTTAGTGGAGTTAACGCAGCTGACTTAAATGTAAAAGTGGACTGGCTTGCAATTTAGGTACACTTTATCACAAATGTACCTAAATGTTGCTTTGCATCAACGATGTAGGCGTTAAGCAAGAAATATCAAATAGTTTTTCACTTTTTTTCAGGTTAACAACTAGTTTAACAAAATTAATTGAATCATTGATATCTTAGTTCATGGAAGCAACATTTGGGTACTTTATTGCATATATAGCTTAGAGGAGGTGACGCATATATTTGTAAGACAAAAGTTTGTGGACTAAATCCGGTCATGACCTGATTTTCATGTTAGCAGATAGTTTCCCGCGTGAAAAGCATCTGTGTCGGACTTCTGATTGTCTGCTGATTTCTTGTTGGCTTAGTTGTCACATCACAAAGTTTGATGTTATTTTAAGTGTTCCACCATTATTGAAAAGCTTTCAATTTTTACGTCAATGTGCACGTAATGTTGTTTGAAACAATTTTTCTGGTTTTTATATATTTTTTTCAAGCTTATTGTATACAGTTTTTGGTATCTTCAATGTTTTTTTTTTTATAATTTGCAGTCTTCTTTGTAACAGAAAAAGCAATAAATGGCCCCTCTTTTGAACTTTTTGAAATATTTATTTTTTTTTTGCAAAAAATAATCATAAGCTAGTACAACGGCCTAAAAAGTATGTTCTGATTTTCCTCCTTGTTCAAACTGGTTCAGTCACCTTGTTTGCGTTTGTTACCCGTGTTTCTATGTTTCCTAGAGCTTAGAAAATGGCTAGATTGTATCACTTTTAAAAAACATGAAACATGTCGCTGTTTTTACAGTAAACTTTCAAGTTGTAAATTCTGGCAAATAGTTTTGTATCACAAGAAGTGCAAAGAACTAAATTTTCACGCTGTAACTCTGGCACAAGTTTTTATTTTAAATCACAAGTGGTGCAAAGTTGCGTTTTGCATCTATGTAGAGCCACTAAGTAATCATTCCAATCGAATTGAGGCACGCCAAGTGGTCCCAATTAGTTCTGTTAAAATCAATTGATATTTTTCATTAGATGTTCCTAATCAACTGCATGGATTTCATTGCTAAGATCCCATGGAGTGAAACAAAATTATAGTGTTTTTTCAGCTTTTTGATTTAACTTTTATTTTTAAATAAAAATTTCATCTGATGATTAACAGATTTTTTCCCGTGTGACAGACACCCTTTATACAGATATTTAACGGATTTCATGAAGACTATCGAATGTATTTTCGTAAATAATTAAATGGAGGTTATCGAACTGTACTTCCAGAACTGTACAAATAAGAATTACAGAGGTAAGCCTTCGAAGACCACTACCGGAATTGAACCTCGAACAACCACATCATGCCACTCCGGTTCTGCTTTCAATGCTGATCCATCCAGTTTCGTCTTTCATTAATTTCACACATCCTCTAATAGTAAATTCCAGGTTTTTGCAGTAGCGCTTTCATTAAGGGGACTGAAAATTTTCTAGGAAAACACACACTACACAGATATACAGTGGCGGATTTACGGGGGGGGGGGGGGTACGCTTCTCTCCCCTCAGGGATTCGACACCTAACACCCTACTACCCCAAAATTTCCCCCTTTTGTACTATTTTGATATATCCATTTTTGGCTGACAGACCCTAGAATTGTTCTTGAGGCGTCTGTGGCGCCAATATATTAATTTTGAGGGGGGAGTGCGCGCCGAAAAAACGCAATTTTTTTGATAAATAATAACCAAAAGTGCCTAAAAACGCCGCCTTTCTGGCCTGTTTTTCAAAATTTTGCCTGCGAAACTGTCTTTTTAGTGCTTTGGGACAGCTCGGAAAATCAATTTGGTCGACCGAAAACAAAAAGTCGTCAAATTTTTCGGAAGTTTTTTTAAAATCCACGCCCCACTCGAGAAAATCCTAGATATTCCCATGCAGACATCAGTCAACTATTTCATCTCATTTCATTTTTTCTCGAAAAGTTCGAGAAATATGTTTACCCATGTTCTACTTTTTGTTATTGAAAAGAATTCATCTTAATCCAATTTTTCTTCGGTACGTTCAAATCGCGTTGAGTTCTGCTATTGTAAACTACAATTGTCATATCTATCAGCCATGAAAAATTTCATTCGTCAGATTTTATCAAGTATTCGTCATGCAATACTGCAGGGGCGGATCTAGGATTTTCTCGAGGGGAAGGGGGTTCGAAGTTTTGTCGACCTTTTTTTAGGTCGACCAAATTGATTTTCCGAGCTCTCTCAAAGCACTAAAAAGGGCCTGTTCTGCGCCCTTTGAAAAAACAACTGTCCAAAAAGGCTTTTTTTTGGAAAATTTTGATTTAAGAAATCGCCTTTTTTTGAGGCCCCTGCAATATTACTGAGGCACCTGCATCCGCCCCTGCTATACTGGGTTCTCAGGCAAAAAAAAAACACTGTTTTTGATTAGTATCATTTTGACAAGAATTTTAACTGCTAAAAACAATTTGAAATTTTGGGGGCATGAAATTTCTACAATGATGATATCATTTTTTAGTAAGATGTTGGTTGCGTTAAGACAGTATCTTTGTATGTCCTTCATGGTCTTTTCTTCCATAGTGACAGAACTCTTGTCCATCATTTGACATTGAGTTATCTCGCTCCCTAAAACTTTTCTTTTCTACGAGCAGCCAAATTTTTGCAACAGAGTAAGAAAATCAGACCGAGAGAGTAAGAAAATCTCACGTTCCTTTCACGCATTTCACCTTTTCCTGATTTGGATCTCAAAAATTATCATTTGTATAGAATCAATTGTGTGGTTGGGTTAACGAGAAAATGAAGCACCAACTTTGTAGAAACGGACAATTGAGCAACTAATTGACGTCCTACATTTCAACACACAACTTACCTGCCCTCGTTTGTTTTCAGTATTTGGAATTAAACAATTTGAGGATGCAATTAGCTTATTTTTCTTCAAATCTTTTCAGTTTTTTTACAAGTAATCTGAAAATGTTTACACAAATGGACAAATTAGATTCAGCAGCAATTTGGTTGAATGATTCAGTGCTATAGAAACGATAGACATCGCCATTTATTTTCTAATTCGAACTTAAAATAGACCAAATAAAACACAATACAAATTTGATTGAATTTATTGCAAGTTTTTGAAAATTTTGAAGTATAAAACAAAAATATCGACTTTGGTATTCAAAAGTGGGATTGGTTAAAAGACCCTGTTTGGTTTTCAACTCGCTAATCAATTGATTTGATCAATTACGGCGCGAGTTTAATTTGTATAATTTTAATAGTCTGTCGGTCCAAAACTTGGTTTCAAAGGCATTCGGTTAACTGAACAGTTCGGCTGAGTTTGTAACTAGCAGTTTGTTCATCATCTGCATGAACATTAATGTCACAAAAAGTTTGGTCGAAATGGGGTTTGTGTGAATGGTGCTCCAGGTCGAATCAGTCATCTTGACGAATGACTGTTCGAGGTCAGCGCCTGCTACAGGGAACAAGTGGATATTGCTGATGATGGAGACGTCTCGCTTGGCGAACATGGATATAAGTCGTTGGGCCTCGTCGTTGCACGCCTGCACTTGGGACGACGAGGGGTCGCTGAAGGGCACTGTGAACAGGAGAGTGACTGAGTCGTCGAGGCTCAAGTGGCCGAACACGTCACATTGTGGCTAAAGCAGAAAAGCAATCAGATAACAACGGATTCCTTCTTTGTTGATCGCATCAACGAACACAGAAATAATGTTTTTTTTAAATCGATATGAGACAATTTTTGTAATTAAAAAGTGACCACACTGTTCTAACGACACTGTTATTTTGACCGTTTTCGGATTTCCACAAAAGTAAAAGCAGATATACAAGTGCAATGTCAAAACCATTTAAATAACCGACTGGATAATTTTTTCAAAATCTCAACAAACTTACAACTGAATACGAAAACTAAATTTGGTCCAAATGATGATTACAAGCAAAAATGGAAAAAAAAGCTTCCACTAAAGAAACATTAATCATATATAAACCAAGCGATGTAATAAATAAAAATTGTGGTTTCTGCGATTCGCAAAGGATCTATGCAAGGCTATCAGACCGGTCGACGCATAGACCGTTTCTTTTATTTCCCCACAATATATACTGACATCGTGTACAACTTTGACATCGTATAATAAAATTTACTTATATTTGTTAGTAGAACTTTAACGTACCAAGGTGATCTGTTGTCTGACAGCTAGCACTACGTCCCTCACAGTGTACTGGTCGGCTGGGTTGTCCGAATAGTTGCCCCTTAGGGTTAAGTGCACCATGTCTACCAAATCTGGCACTAGGATTAGTCTGGCTACTGACCCACAAATGGGACAGCACACTCCAAATGCATGCACCCCCTGACAGAAGGCGGGGAGGGGGGCACAGGAGTCGCCTATCTTGTAGCACTGGCGGGGCTCCTTGTCCGCTGAAAAGAAACCCAGTCATGGTCCTTATTTCATTAACATCCAGACAAACTATTGTCCAGAGGTAGAACGGAACAATTTTTAAATTTCTGTAAGGGTCTGAGAACTCAATTGAAGTTCTCATTGTTGCTTTTAGCGTTTTAGCATTTTAAAAATTCGGTTGAATCGAAATTTAATTTTTTTACATTGGTTGTCATTTTACCAACTCCAATAAATCTTTTTGGCCTCCTTTTGCGTCCTTTAAGAACCGAATAAAAATTTTGCGTGCCGCGTGTGAGTGTTTTGAGGGGGAAAGTGGACTTCAAAATTTTTATTAATTTTCCGTTTGGTTTTAATCATGGTCATACATTGTTGTATGGCAAGTGGTGCGAAACTCGCTTCGCCTCTATGTTAAAAAAAGCCTCGCGCCTTCAAAATATAAACTGACAGAGATATTGTGGGAGTGCACTCACTGATCTGGGTGGCGAAGTCCCTGCATCTGCCGGGGTAGTCGACCAACACTCTGTCGTAATAAGCGGCACAGGGGGAGGAGTAGGAGTGGCCATTAGTGCCACACACCTGTCGCAACTCACACATCTGGTCACACCTGCAACACGAGAAACAACAAACATCAACATGGTATCCTTTCAGTGAAGACTAATCAGCTGAAAGAAGACTCTGTTAGGAAAAGAAGACTCTGTTAAGCACTGTTTGGCTCTTTTACCTATAAGTATGATACCCTCATGCAACCATCAAAAGACTTTCTGGGCTGGGTATTGATGCTTCACTCTGAAGCAGCGAGGACTACTCGACTGTCAACTTAATTGAGAATTAGACTGAATCAGGATTTATTCAATTTATATTTATGGCATATTTCATGAGCCCAGTAAAGGAAGCTTACAGATAGAAAGTTTTTAGCCAAGAAGAAAAGCGCAAGTTTAAGAGGATTTAAAACTTTTTGTTTTTCGATTTCATTATGGAACGCGAGTCCAAACATGAACGCGAGCCCAAATAACTTATTTACCAGACTAAAAAATTAGAGTCATTGTGATAGATTTTATTTTCTGTAAGGTTTTTCGTCATTGATAAATAAGTGTAAATGGAATGACAAGCATTTTTTTCAGAGACTCCAATAGTTGAATTGAATGATACGCTTTTTTCGTATGGAGCTCAACCCGTGAATTGAAACACGAAGATAGATTCCTACCTTCCTGGGTACGATATCTCCACGGCCCTTCCCGAGCTGGAATGAGGCAAGTCCACGTCACACCTAGATGCATGTGTGTTGCCCTGTTCGTCACACACGTGTTGTCTGCAGTCGTCCTCCCTAACACATCTGTGTTGTATACACTCGTAGTTCTTCGTCAGACACACTTCCCGGTTGGTCACACATTTGAACCCCACAGGACACATCGACCTCCAACATCTAAACCATACAAGACCGTCAATTAGTTCATCAAATTATGTGCTCTTTCCTATTTGTTAGACTTTTCTCCTTATACAAGCTCAATAATTGCTAAGACCTGATCCGAAATTTTCTTGGTTTCGTTAAAATCAGAAGTCACATGGTTTAACTTATGGTTAAATTTGTTGTACAATTTGTTGGTTGATATGTTTCGATTTACTACGTAGTGCTACGTGACACCATTACAACCAGCCTCTTCCCTAGTACTTAAAAAATTATGGCCCACAAGGCTGCGATTTTTGTATTATGGCGTCTAAAAAACTGCTGGGGGTTATGATTATTCTAGAGTACAATTTTCTGCTCAATCGTACTTCTAAAAGGGTTTACAAGAATCGATGCTGCACTTCGCAAACACACAAGAAACATGGCTGCTCGTATCTAAGCGGAGCCCTGAATTTTCTGTCTGCCATTTAACTTCTATGAAATAATTTTTGGTTCAAACATTTGATGAATTTTTTGTGAAAATAATTATTTTTTCTTCGTTCTCTTCATTCCCCCACTTGTTTATAAATATGACCGTTTCTTTAAAACTTAGCAATTTACATACCTTTTGCGGGCCTCACAGGGTCCCAGCTGGTACTGCCGGATCCCGAGTGCCTCAGTGACCTGGTCGTTGGGATATGTCCTCCCATTGGATGCACATGACGCCAGATACTCGTCATCCGCATTGCTGGGCATTCCAGTGAACTCGAAGCCATACCTTCAAAACAACTTTCTTGAAACAAACTGAATTATATGGATGATCTATATCGAAGATATATGGAAGAAAAAAGAACTCAATAAGCTAAAAGCAACATTGAAAAATTATTTGTTGATTATTCGTACACATATATTAATGGTTTCAAATTATCGTTATCATCAACATAACGACATACATAAGTTCCAAGCAAAAACTAATGACGTACTCATCAATCACACATGAGACTTATTTAAAAAACTGGTCATACTTGTTGAGGTTGTCCAGTTTGTAGTCTGTGTGACAGAGTCGCTTGGTGCAGTAGCTGACTGAGTCGAGACAGGAGCAGAAGTTGCACTCGAACATGTAGTCTGTGGCGGCTAATGATGACCTTTTAGACCTCTCTGTAGCACTCACAGTCACCACTGCAACCAAAACAATAAGAACAATTTATACAAGTTTCAAAATTTTGTATTGTTTCAAAGCAATTGATAAGATCTTCGTTTCATAGACCAGCCAAAAAGTATATCTTGAATTGTGCGAACATTGAGTCGAATTTCAGGTAAAAAACGCATGCAAAATAATTGATTGAAAATACTTTTATGAGAATTTAGCAATATTTTTGAGAGTGTACAAAATAAAGCCTCACGCAGCAAAAATCTACGTTATTTAAGTCAAGTAAATGAGATTAATAAAAAAGAAAATTGAAAAAAAAAATGTTTTGAAGCAATGTCTTAAAAAACTAACTGGATTTATCAGTGGCTCCGTTGACTGCAATAATTTTATCACTGCTGTCTTTGGAAGGAATGGGACATGTTTTACGCAGTCCCAGCTCACACTTGGCCTCTATGAGGTGTTTGGGGTCCATGTCACAGTAGAAACTGGTCTGCTCCGGGTTGATGTGTTCCACGCAACGACACACCACACACTGTTTTATACCGTCAAGGTCGTTGTTAGTGATGACCAGGTCTCCCGGCAGAAACATCATGTGGATTGTGGTCCAGGCTTGCACACTGCAACCTACAATTAATATTCATTTACTAGAGGAGAGTCATACATATACAATAAGTTAAGACAAGTAATGAAACTGTATCATGCAAAAAGCTATTCAGCTTATCGAGGCATGACCCTGAAAAACCTAAGAGAGAAGTTGCGAGATAATATCGGGTTTGAACAGCGCGAATAAAAAAACTATTACATCGGTGTTATCGTTAAGATATAGACAATTAACATCAATTGTCCACAACCGCTTTCCAAAAAAAAATCTAACAAGTACATATGATATCGAAAAAACCATACTTTAAAGTAATGTAATTATCACAAACATTTAGGTAAAAAGAGGATAAACAAAGAATATTACTGTACTAATGAAAAACTTATCAAAGTTCGACTATTTCAAAACTATCAAATATTGGAGTTTATCAATAATTTCCCGTAGCAACGATTCTCGTTAAAATTTGAACGCAACTTAAATACTAGAGTAATTATTCTTGAATTATAATTTGCCATTTTTTCGTATCATAACTTTTTTGCGGATCATTACAACTATCAGGGTCATTTTGAAATGCCTTGAGCAAGTATATGAAACGATTGAAATTATGCGACACTGTTTTGTATGCGCCATAGCATAGTAAAAAAAACGATCTCAGCGAGCTTGAGGGAACTCCACCCATCAGCCAGATACAGTTGATGTTTTGTTTGACTCTGTGTACCTCTGTTGCACTTGTTTGGCACGGTGGAGGAAGAGTAGCGATTGAATGAGGTCTGCAGAGGGGGGCGGGACACCTCACACACTTCCCTGTCTGACTCACGACACATGTTGCTGCTCGAACAGGGGTAGGTAACTTGGCTCTGCGGGTAGAGAGTCAGTGGGTAGTCCCCGTTGCTACTCTTCTGCCCACGAATCTCTGAAAGACAATACATGCATTCGACCAAATCAAAAAAACATCCAAACAATTTTGTTTTACTGATTGTTTTTCAATTTGTTCATGAGAGAGCGATGCAATTTTCCAAAATCGGCTCTATTTAATCAAAATCGGTAACGCATTTCAATGAAATTAATGTCGCAAATTCTCTTTCTTGTCAAATGGCATTAACTAGATTATCAACGTTTGAAGTAAAAACTAATCAAAAGCGCCAAAAATTATCGAATCGAAATCGCAACTGTTTAGTGAAAAAAGTTCCTTTTTAATTTGCACTCACCACTTAGAGCGTAAATAGACACACACTCCTGCTGTGCAGCTGCCTGTTCATTGTTGAACGTGTCCTCGTTGACCTTCTTCTCTCCTAGTATCATGGTGCATTTCTTCTCTGCGTAGTCATTTTGGTCTGATGCATTTGCACACTTAGACAGTAGACGGTAGCAGTCGTCCCTAAAACAATCAGATGTTTCAGCCAATGACACAAATTATGTATTAGATTTTTCTGGTACTCTATCCAAGAAACATATCACTTTTCAAATACTTTAAGAAAAAATAAAGCAGAAGCTCATTGAAAAATTCGTAATGAAGTCATTGACAAATGAATGAAATTAATACAGTACGTTTTTGACCACTGAAGAAAATATCAACAATTTTAACATTTCCGTTTGGTATTTACAGAAAACTGTTCACAAGTTCACGGCTTACCAGCAAATTTTGGACGTCTGGACCCTGGAGCAGGGTTTGATGGTCAGTGCACATGCTATTGCTCTGAACACTTGTGGGTCACAATTGGATATATCGTTCAGCGGGATCTTCAGCATATCGTTTTGCTCTGTGGTCGCTTTCTTGCTAGAAGTGGTCGCGTCATCATCTGCTCCTTCTTCCAGGTGTTCGAATGAAATGGCGTTCTCCCTCACCCACTTGGCGAAGAGGGAACTGGCCGCCTGGTCTGCTTCGTCTGTACATCTTCGGAACGTGAAGTCGGGTCTAGAACGAAGACAAAATTTCAAAATGCTAGTAGATAAGATTATATATTTTACGGGGATGTTATGTTTAAAACAGTTTTTTTTTTATATTAGATTACAGTTTCTGAAGCTGGATCGCTGATTTTATAAACTTTTAGGTGGAACAAAACAGAAAAACCACATTTTGTTTAAGTTTAAGATCATTTATCCACGAGGGATAGGACCAACATACGAGCTGTACAGCCCATCACGGCGAACCGCTGTTGTGCCCCTGCTTAAGAACTACATGCAATTTTTTTTTTGGTTATTTTTTTGGGCTGGGTAATGTTGCCTCACCCTCAAGCAACGAGCACGGATCATGGTGGGCCTCGAACATCCGACCTTTCGATTGAGAGGCGGAGACGTAACCACTTCACCACTGCTCCCCTGTTCAAAAATATCGTGTTCAAAAATATCACAACTGGGTCTTTTCGTTTCAATAAATCTTAAACTACGAACAAAATGGTTGGTAAATGTTGACCAAATGTTTCCAATAGATATCGGCAGAGTACCCAACAGTGATGGTAACTAACTGATTGTTGAATGAAGAGCAGAAGTTCATGCGTGAACAACCGGGTCTGCACTGCCCGGCCACTATGTTCTGCACACAAGAGATAGCTGGACGAACAGACTCTTTCCGGCCACATTGCAGATCGAAATCTTCCGCCAAATTCTGTGCTCCTCTACTTGAATCCTTCGAGAAAATCTACAACACAAAGTTTCCTTGTAAACAGGAGCCGTTTTTTTCTGGGTAAGGGGGTGCCCCTTAATTTCTCAGGAACTCGATACCCTCGCCAGTGTCTCCAACTTGCAACAACTTTTCAACATTCACCGTCACCCTCAATCAGCACTAGATTAGATTCATCTTGCATATATGGTTTAGACAAATTATCGAAATTGATCAAAAATTGATTCCAAGCAGGGATTGGAATTGATGTTTACAAAAGATTTAAAATACCTATCTTGTCAAGTTTTCTTTCAAAACATATAATTGCGCGAATCGGATTTTTTCAGGTGGAAAGGTTTTTTACTCCAAGTCAAGCATTTTTTTGTGTCCACATTTAAAAAAAACTGTTGAAGTCTCGAATATTAAGTAAATTATTGAAATATAGAAACACCAAAATTTAATCTCAATGCCCTTAGAGACTCAACGTCACGCCTCAGGTTTCAATGATTCGAATTCAGTTGAAAAAAATAGGAGGGGCCGTCCAATTAAAACCATTTTCGTCTGAAATAGTAGTAAATTCGGTCTTGTCTGGGTCTTAGTTTATGTCAAACTGTACAATTAGTTTTCAACTTGTCATAACAAATGGCAGAATTTAATACATAATCATGTCAAAATAACTGTTCGCAGATAAAAGAAACATTTCGATGTTTTGATTGTGACCAGTAAACATGACCAGTTTCACCTCTGCATTCCGTCAAACTTATTCCAAATAAACTCAAATACCATAATCAAAGAAGGGAATTCAGAACACCTTTAATCGAAAAAAAATACAATTCTCGTAATCCTTATATCATGTTCATTGGGATCAAAGTCTATGCCGTGTTTTGACTAAACATAAATTAATGAAGGTCTTTTCATTTTTGCCATCATTGACATTTTTGCCATAAATAAAAAAGATATATGATCGTCTACAGCCCAAGGAAAAGAAACATTAAACGTCGACAAACACCCAGAGAATACACAAATGAGGTATCGCATGAAAAATCTTTGCGTGTTTGAATCAGATTTCATGTCAGAATACTTCAAAAATGTCGGTGTCGAGAAAAATCACTTAAAATCAAAATTTCGTTCCTTTATGGCATACTTTATACAGCACTATCTGACATTTTTGACAAAAAGTATATGTACCAAAACAATGATCATCATTTAAAATTTAATTTGTCTTCAAATGAGGCTAAATTGCTCTCTTACCACTCTGCACTTGTCGTTGCAGCTCTGGTCTTCTTTAGGGAGGAGGTTGCAGCAGTATAGCCCCAGTCCATTCATGGCCGGCAGCTGGAATGAGAGACTCAGGGAGGGATCAGTGGGCACTTTGCTACCGCGGGGGAACTTGTTTAGCTCTAAAATATATAACGAGTTTGAGTGGCTTATCTTGAGCAAAAACGCCCTGAAGCTACTGAAACTTTAAAATTGTGTTATTGTAAACAAAAACCATAAGAGTGCATATAAAAATTTGGATTCATATAGATTATTAGCTTTCTTTTTAACATTTCTGAATGGGTAAAATACCTTGATCAAAAAAGAAAACGTTTCATCAGAACGAAAATAAAATTTCTGTCCAAAACAAAAATATCAAGAAAAGTGTAGTAAAATTCACCTGCAACTTTGAGACAGCTCTTTAGGTGCAGTATGGCCTCTGAGGCATCGGACACTGAGAATGAAGTAGCTGTAGTCTGGGTGTCCACACAATTGGCCTCTAGATTAGCGTAGGATATCCTCACATCCAGGGTCTGCAGGTGTTCCTTGCATTTGGCCTGGGAACATGTCCATGACTGGTAGTTGCGGCTGGCGATCTCGTCACAGCAGGACGTGTCTAAAATGGACACAGCGTGTGTTCATTGTTAATTACAAGAAAATTATTTATTTTCTGAAGTCTGCTCGAAGCTCAAAAAGAATGTGTGATAGGTTCCATAACTATTGCATCAAGCATTGAAAAGGTACAAATCAAGAGCGTTATCAACCAGAATCAGTTTTTATTTGCGACCATAACCTTCGCAATGATTCATGTTCATTGCTAATTTCTATTGAACTCGTGCTTTGTTTCATGGAGACTAAGATTTCGCGATGCAATAATCGGTTCGAATTCGACACGTTTACTACATCGATCATAATTTTTCTATGCATTGCATATTGTTTTCACGTTTTTTTCTACATATCATAAACTTCAATTAAGTGACTTACATCGGGTGCCCTTGTGGTACTGTAGCTCCTCAAGCATCTCGGAGAGGTCTTTGCCAGATGCCTCAAGACAGTCTTCCCCAATACTCCTCACTGTCTTGTTCAACTCCTCAGTAGGCTCCGACACTATGTTGCTGCAACAAACACGAACGTACTTTATCTATTAACACTTTTTCTGATCCAACATTTCACAACTTGTAAACGTAACTCAAATAATAGTACATGAAACTAATTACATGAAACTAGTCACGAAACCCTAAAACCGAAAAGTTAAAACTAATCATGACACTAAAAAACGAAAAAATATTTTTTTTTTCAACAAAAAAGCGACCAAAATGGGCATGGTGCACTGCTACTACTCTGCAAGTCCATTGTCCTGAAACAATTATCCTATATTGTTTAAATGAAACAGTAATGCTCAATCTTACTCTAGAAGTTCTTGGCACAGTCTGATACATCTGGACTTGTTATTGGGGTATTTGGTCTTGGTGCAAGCTTTGTAGGCACTCTTCAATGTGTTCAGACAGTATGACACTCCCTCTTGGCTCTTACACGTGCTCTTTATTGTATTCGTGGCCATACCCTGAAACATATAAAGTATTTTAAGAAATTAACTAAAAATTTAGCACTTTAAATTTCAAGCCAGCAATTTTATATAGATAAAAAAAGTATTTACAAAAAAAAGTCATTTAGAACCAATAAAATGTAATCAATTTACTAAAATCAAAAAACCTAGGTAGTAACAAAGATTTTTCGCATCACAGTTATCACACGGGCAAATCGACAACCTGTAGCTAGCTAGCGTGCAACTGCTAGCAACAAGTTCAATTGTTTCTGGGAAGGATAATCGCACCGTAACAGTCTGTCGGATCTGTCAAAATTAAATTGAAGGTTCGACTTATTGTTTCTGAATGACTCTGCGAAACCAATCTCTCACGTACGTCAACCACTTACCACTTAAAATTGGTTACAAATGCAGAGTCATAGCTAGCTTTGGGTTCGAGACAGCACTGTATAGTAATCAAATTTAAAATGAGTTTCTCTACAAAATCATCGGAATGGGTCGAGTGATATACCAATTGAAGCCTATTCACTCGTAATTCGAACATCAAAAACTTTTCAAAATTTTTTTTGATGTTCTGAAATTTTGGTTTGAAGTTTTTGACTTTTATTTCAATTTCGAGCGAATACAGCGAGCAAGCAGTCTTACAACAGCCTGTTTATGCTTAATTTAAGCCCTGAAAACTCAATTTTAAGAAGGTAAATATAGTTTCTGGAATTTTTAGCGCCATTTTGCGAACCATAAATTTAAAAAATCAAAAAACCCTATATTTCTCTGATAATTTTGTTTTTCTAGTCTTTTTCTACAAATTTTTTTTCCAATTTGCCAATATTAGTATGACTGTCGAAGATACCTAAATTATAGTTTTACATCAGATCCTTTTATCCCACCACACTAATTTGAAAAAAAGGTTTTGTTGTTTTTTAAAGACTATAATCGGAATATTCTGTGCTACTGTGATACCCGACTATCCTTGTTTTTAATTCAAACTGAATGGTTTGATGATTGAAAGTCCTTTTTGATTGATAGTCATTTTCCATTATATTGTTTCAAAACTTAAGTTTGAATTTTTTAAAAGCTTAATTATGTTTTGCATCATTGCCAGAACCCACCATAACTAATCTTTTTATTGACGACTGCAAAAATTTAAAAAGATGCTCCAATTTAAAAAGAGCTCAAATTTAAAGCTGAGCTCAAATTTAAAAAGATATTTTACCTGTGATTATTTTTCGAAAAGTTATTTATGGGGGGGGGTTCGAAAAGTTATGGGGGGATTGCTAATTTGGTATAACTAACGCGCGACATACATTGTGCTATCAACGCGTAAGCGGAGAGTTAATCCGTCTTAAAAAATCGTTCCAAATTTAATTGAGGCATGCTATTTGATCTATTGAATAAATTGTATTTTTTTACAGCGTGTATAGGAATGATTTCTACAATGTCTTTTGAAAATTTAACCTCTTTCTACAAGCGAACGCTACACCATAGACCTTAAAAAACAATCGGAACATTCAGGGCTTCGTCCTACTACTAGCAGTCTTGTTGATTTTTTTTAGTTTCGGTAGAAAAAAATGATAATAATGAATTTTAATGTTTGAAGAAGCCCATTTAACAAAAAATCCTCTGCTAAAGAGATAAACAAGACTGCTTGTATGTAGTCTTCTGTCAGAGTGGCTGCAGTGAGTTTTGAATATAATTTCAATGAAGTTTTAAAAATTTGAAAAAAAATTTCTTAAAAAAATTTCTCTCTCAAACCCAATGTGAAGTACACAAAGATATATTCGGACAGTTAGTACTAGCTCATTATTAGTATCAATTAGCGTCAAATTATTCAAATTGGAAAACATTTCAAGCCAAATTAATTCGCAGCATTAAATTATGCCAAGTTTCTTTTTTTCAAGCCCCCTAAAATTCCCAAAAGGTCGAAATTGGTCTGAATAAAAATCCACCAAGCATAATTAGTGTCAGTTTCTTCGAAACACTCGGAACCATAAATTTACACGCAATAAAGCAGCATACTTTTAACGGCCATACTTATAATTGAGCCTACTTAGCATAATTTTTTTTTTGTAAATTCAGATCATTTTTTTTCTCTTATTCAACGAAGTTGATCAAACTTATTTCGTCTCGTTTGAAAATCTGGCTGAAAATTGTATGTAACCTGCATCGTTTTAAGTGGTCTTACCGATGCCTCAGCAAGCGAGCATTTGCATTCGGCGTCGGAATTTTTCCTCCAATCGCACGAACACACTTCAGCGCCGACAGCATTCCAGTCGAAACTTATCTCAGTGGTATCCGAAATCACATAGGGCAGAACTGATAAGAGGAATATAGTCGCCAGTAAAATAAAACTACGCGTCATAAATAGGAAAACCATCGCTTAAATCGAATTTAGTTACAAAGGTAAAATGAGGGTAATATAAATGATCTCCTTTCGACCCCGGATAAAGTTGAGCAAAAAAGGGGTAAAATAATTTGATTATTATGATTTGATTGTCGATTTTATCGTATATTTAAAGACGTTCGTGGAAGCGCCAGTTTAGAAATCTGTCTAAATTGAAATTGAACATAAGCTGTTGTTGCCGACCTTGAATTTTTCAAGCGATTTTAAAGGCCAAAGTTTTTAAGAATTCCTACGAATAACCAGAGAACCAGAAGACAACAACAATTTTTTAACCAAATGTGAACTCAAATACTTGGATTTGAACTCTGGAATTGTATCGATTTTAAATTAAGCCGAAAAAAGACCTACTTAGCTCAGCTCGTAAGTAGATTTAACAGCATTTTGACTGATAAGTAAATTTAAAACTGCGATTCTAATAAATTAGTAGACTAATAAACACAGATTTAGACATTCGAGTGATGGTTTGATTTAGGGTACACATTAAAATTGAGTACGCCCAGACATATGAGTTCAAAATTCAATCTTATTCTATGAAGGTTGTTTGAACAAGGAACAGTAATCACTTATCGAAATATAAATGTTCTGAAGAAATGAAGCGTTTAACTATGAAAGGTGGGCAGTATTCTTGCCAAATCGTGATCGATACAACAATATCGTTAACTAAACTAAACAGCTCAAAGATTATTAATTACAGGGTCTGCACTAGCAAAATTTGTTCAAAAAGTGTTATTTTTTTTCAATTACAAAAGAAAATTTTCAATAACAAAAAGCTAATACAGATTTTGCACATTTTGGCTACAATTGTTTTCTCTCTAAATAAGTCAGGAAAAGTAACAGCTCTAATTTAAATAGTCTTGAATATATTAGTTTCTAACTGGATCGAAGTACTATAAATCTATGACTAAAGACAGGAAAGATGACGAATAGTCAGGGTCCATTTGGTATCCGAAAAAAGGGTAAATTATATCCGATGAAAACCAAATGAGATTAGGAGCGAATATCTCTACTCTATTAAATTGATCCCTGAAGGTAATCTGAACATCAAGGGCCAATAAATATCGGCAAGGATGATTGATATAGTCCCAGACCAGAAATCAGCTGGGAATAACCTGACATACAAAAAAAGTGAAACAATTGAAAAAAAGAAAGCTGACAAAATTTGAAAATGAAAATTTACCGTCAAAGATTTCCTCAGGCAACTTCAAAGAATTGAATCTGATAAATGATTAAATATTTTAAAATAATTTTTGATTTGCGACCAAAAGTGTTCAAATATTCAAAGCTGAAGTGATCAATTTGAGTTCTTTCCTCCCCGCGAACGTTTTCATGTTTTCATTTTTATTCACTCTTTGTTCTTTGTTTTTTAAAAGCCCTGGTTTGTCAAAGGGAACTTCAAAGAACTTTCTTTGTTTGTTCAAAACAAACTCGGACCGCCAACCCTTTTAGCCCGCAGATTATTTTCATTAAAAACTTACTTTAAACTGGCCTGTAACAACAAGAAGAAAATATGGGCTGATTCATTATTTTTTCCTTGATAAGTTCTCATGACCATGAAACTTAAAAGTTATAAATTTGCGGGCTCATATTAAAAGATAGCACCCTTTTTAAAAGTAAATCCAATAATAGCCATTTTAAATTAATCAAAAGTTTATTTGTACGGAACTATCCTATTTTTCTGAAGCAGGTCTTTATAGTTTTAGCGTCTTGCATGAATTGCCTAATTTCAAATATTTCAATGAGACTTTTAATCAATAAAAAAGACCACCCTCAAAGGGCGCACTTCACCAAAAATTTTCTCCTAAGCCCCCCTGAAAGTAACGCGATTTTTTCGAACCACCTCCCCTCCTACGGTTAAGGCAAATTTTGATTTGGCTCTGCTTTGTCGCCCTGCGATTTCAGAAAGCCTCAAGGGAACGCCTAGCGATTTCCGAGTCCCAGAGCTGACTGGCATAGCGCCTCTAGTACTATTTCACTACATCCGTTTTGATTTCACTATAAAAATTGGATGTACTCGATGCTTATATATTAATTCGCTAAACGAGAGACGTCGTCGACTTCACATACCACTTATACTTAAGATATTAGTTTAAAAAAATAACCATTTGTTATTCAAGTACCATAGAAAGTTCCAATGGTAGTTATATTTTCAAAAAACTCATTTTTTTTCTGCACTTTCAACGTATATATTTTAGAGTCTAGAGTCATCATCTCAAGGTTAATTAACGATTATATTTTTTCTACCATAGAAATTTCCAATGGTAGTTACATTTTCAATAAAAAATTTAAAAAATTCATTTTTTTCTAAACTTTCAACGAACTTATTTTAGAGTCTAAGTTCATCGTCTAAAATTTTAGAGTCTAAAGTCATCATCTCAAGGAATGAGTCTAACAGCCTAATTGACGATTAAATTTTTTCTACTTTACGGAATTGAATTCATCAGTTCTTCGCTTTAAATTGATCTGAATATCTGAAACATGTCACTGAAAGTTTTCCGAATTTGGTTTATTGCAGCTTGAAGCCAAGTAAAATGGCTTCAAAATGATATAAAATCCGGCTTTATCTAGCACTTGTTTATGCTGCCTGACTTTTGTGGAAAAAAAGTCTCTGGACACTGACACAACCTTTGCAATTTTTTATTTCGGCATCGGAATCACGACTAAAAGCGCTTTAATATGATACTAACTTTGACTGCGTACGAGTTTTTTTTTGAGTTACCGATAGATTGGGCTACAAAAACCCACCCTGCACCGTAGCTACTTCATGACGTACTCGGAGGAACACTTCACAAAAGCTGTAATTTATAAAGAAAATAAAATCGTTCTCATACCATTTAGTATGTTGTGCTATCTCTGCATCAAAAGAATAAACTGACAAAAATAACGTAGTTGAGGACTAAATAATAAATCTTGTTTTTTTTTCTTAATTGCAACCAAGTTTGTCTCAGAGTTATAGTTCCGAATCTCAGAACAGAACTCTGAGAAACACTTCACTGCAATTAGGAAAAAACAATAATTTTTTACTCAAACTTCGATTACGTTGTTTTTGTTAGCTGAAACTTTTGATGCAGCGATTGCACAACATGAATAATGGTATGAGAATGATATATATACTTTTAAAAATCACAGCAATTGTGAAATGTTTTCTCAAAGCGATTAAGAAAAAGCGGCTAACAAAAATATGTTAATCTTGAATTTTTTTAGGATCTTTGCTTCAATTTAATTCCAAAACCTTAAAACACGTACATTAAAAAACAGGGTAAAGTCAAACATTCAGAACATTCCGTACTACAATGAATTACAGTGTACACTGAAACTTTTACTTTTTAGTATTCAGCCATTGTTTCATTTAAAGAGTGTTAAGTCCTGACCTGATTGATTTTCAGAAAAAATTATCTATTTTTTTTGTCGAGAAAAAAACGTTTAAAACTTTTGATAGTGAATTGATCAAGAAAAATAGATCACTGAAAGACAGTACAATAATAAATGTTTTATTATGGTTTCATTTTTTTGAAGTTTATTATAATGTTTTCATTCAATCAACAGAAAAGAACAGAACAATAAATATAAGCAGGGGAGGCCGATTACTGCGCAAATTGTTTTTTCCAAATAGCGGCAAAAAAATGCAACACAAAGAAATCAATCAGCAGTTCAAGACTGAGTCTCTTTCAGTTTTAGCTAAATTTGAGTCTGAAGAGCAAAAATTCTGAAGGGAGGGAAAAAACGCCACAGTTCCTTCTTAATCTGCGAGAATGGTCGGCACAAAAATGTCAAAACCTTAAAGCAAAAGAATTTAAATATATACAGTGGTAAGGCGTTCACTTTGAAATCGTTAGATCTTGTATTCGATCCCATGACATGGTAATGATAGTGTGTGAGGGCAAGTTCTCACTTGACCTCCAGCTTCAGGTCTACCACAACCTGACCAAATTTGGCTGCAAAAGTGGTACCACGTAAAAGTTCTATACGCAAAAAAAACGGCCTTGAGTCGCAAAAAACAGCTTCGCTCAGCAAATTAACACTGTCTAGAATGTGGGGAGATAATACAAATGGACTATCCTCGACAGGACTGTTAAGGCCTACTGATAGCTCCACTGCGATTCGCAGGAACTACAATTATTATTATTATTATGATTATTATTATTATATATTTAAGATATATAATAATAGATATAAGCTAAGATATATATTTAAGCTGTGGTCAAAACACTCTGTAGTTTTTGCACAGTAATCAGGTCATCTCATGTAAATCTCGTATTCCTAACATTCCGACAGCATCAACTGCAAAGAAAACATAGCCAATAAACAGTTGGAAAAAAGGCAATGAACGTCAATGAAAAAATCAAAAAGTAAAAACCTACTTATTATTTTTTGAAAAAATCTCAACTTTAAATTCCAGAACAATTTTTTGATTGACATTTTTTTGATTAAATTAACCCAACTTGGGAAAATTGGATCAATAAATAAATTTGTTATTCCTCTGGAAAATCTCAAAATTTAAATACCAGTTTCGAAACTAAAAGTCGATCACGTTTTTTGTGACTTTTTGATTTTTGCTGTTCGATAAAGGAGTTTGCCCTCCTTTTAACAATGGAAATGAACTGAATTTAAAAAAATCAAGAGTCAAACTGCGAAAAAGTGAATTTGAGCCTGAACAAATCTCAAAACTTTTGCAGAAAAAAAAACGAAAACAAATCATCGCGATCTATATAAAAGTGTCAACTAAGTTCATCGACTTTTAAATATTTTTTAACATTAATATTGTGTGTGTGCCTCTTTGTGTTTCTCTAAATACAGAGAGAAATTTTTTAAAAATCTTTCCTAAACACCGATTACGACTGAATGGTTTTTATAACATCCAACGCTTTAACCACTTTCGAACTTGAACCTTTTGAGGTTCCAAATAAACGAGAAAAAATACACAATTTCAGTTCCCCTTTCAGTCTCTTTGAAAGTAGTGAGATCGAAAAAGCCTGTTTGTGATGTCATGACATATATTGCCAGTCATGAAGTTTTTGAGAATAAATAATTCACTAACAACACCGAACTTGATTAAAATGTTTGATACAGATTATTCGGTGTGGCGGGTATTCATAACTCAGAAAATGAAAAATCGGTTTGAGAAAACCCTAAAAAAGCAGTCGCATCAGTTCCAAGATTTGATCAATTGAATAAAGACTTCTAAGCAAACTACTTGAAAACAAGGATAAAATCCCTTGCGCGAATGGAATTGACATGTACGAATTCGAACGGAGATAGGAAAAAAAAACATTCGAAATGACCACAAGAGGCACTGCCTAATGGTCATAAAAACTTGACTTGACTTGACTTGAATGGCCTTATCCGCGAACTAATTGATATCGAGGAGTGCACAAGCTGTGAAACATGTTGGTTTAGTTGGTGATGCATAGCCTCGAAATTTTTGACAGGTAACGCCTTGGTTCTTTCCCATTATAGCATCCCTAGCAAATTTTAGCCCTCATAATATGACTATGATACTCCTGAGGGCTATGTTTTTTTTTGCTACTGGGCTGGGGCTATGATGAGAAAGAGCCAAAAGCTCAATCGTTATATTTTTGTTTTTATGTCTGAAAACATCTTAAATAATAAGTTTAAGAATTCCTTTTGGCTCGAAATTTGGGCAGTAAGAATTTGAAATAAAAAAATAAAATAATAAAGAATTATGGCACTGCCTTCTTTCATTTTTGGTGCTATGAATGTTTGGAGCTATGAGAATTCACCGATTATTCAGCCAAAATCCTCCAAAATTTGCGGAATTAGTTTAAACAATTGTTGGCTTGAATTTTACTTTTGCTGGAATAAATCTCGCGTAATTTTATGAAAAAAGAACTATCTTTTCACAGTGAAATTTTTTTTCATTGGGTGTTATCAAAATGTTTGGCATTTTTAAAAATTCAAGACAACCAAATAAAATTCTTAGCAAAATTTTTACTGGGAATCGGCAACAACAAACAAACTTTCAGCAGGCCATCGACAAAAGAAGGTAATAAAGCTTCGATTCGAGTTTCAACTGTAAAGAATGAGAAAAAAAAGAGGTTCAACTGTCTGAATTCTGAATCCGAATGAAAGAGTACAGATGCCGATAACAGAAAAAGAGGCGTGACTAGTCCGAGAAGGTTGAATTTTCAATTTATCACGCACACATCAAAGGGAATAATATTGTGCTCTATTAAAAAATAACTGTCAAGGATACAGAGATAAAAAAAAGTAATACAGCTATGGGAGCTGCATTTTTAGATTACTTTGGATTACAATTGGTTTTTGCTGTTCCAGATTTCTGTGGTCCAGTAAACAAAAAAGTACAGGGAGGGAAAGCGAGTATAGGAGTAGGAGTTATTTTCAAATTATGGGAGTACCGAGTCTTTCTTTGAGACGCTGCAGACAAAAGACTTACTCTATTCAACTGGTTGGAATTTCAGATACAAAAGCTAACTGAGACAAAGACCAATAGAACGTAAATGATGCTACAATTTTTTCAGCCGACGAGGAGCAATAAATCGCGACAAAAGAATCAATAACTGAAAGGCGTGTGTAATGTTTTTCGCAAGTGTGACAAAATATACGGTAGGCGGTGCTCATGTATCAAATGCAAACAAATGTATGCGCTTAGTTTTGCATCAGCCAGCTTTAGTTTGGTTGAAAAAATAAATCAAATATCAAGTTTTCGACGTTTTATCAGCACGAATGCAACAATTTATGATGTTTTGTTTGAGTTAAGCTGTCATAAATAAATAGAATTTAGAACAAAATTCGATGTTTCGCTCTCAAAATTGACAGAAATCGGGGTTTTGGTCCTAGGGTTTTGTGGTTTTAGCAGTCCAAATTGTAACTGAGACTCCTGGTAATGTAATTAGAATTCGCCTCCAAGTCCAAGTTGATAGAGAGAGAGAGTGAATTTCATAAATTATGGTCCGAAAGCCCCACCCAAAATCAATGGCAGAACCGTCAGCGGATTTGGAAACTATTTATTGTTGCTGCCTGGTCGCAAAGTTGTTATATCACATTGCACAAGTTAGTACCTCAAAGGGAGTTTGAAATAGGATCCGGCGAATTCCATACAAACGTGACGAAGTCTGTTTTGATTACGGAAAATTAATCGCTCCCGGGAGTTATAATTAAACGTAAGGCAGCACTCCCGCATAAATTATTTACAGATTAAAATCCAGACAAGGAAGAAAATCCTATAACCTGGTACAACCCAGTCTATATTACGACGACTTTGACCCCTCCAAATTATTGGTAAGTCTAAATAACATAGCTTGCTCTTCTCAAAAACATAAACAATACAGGGCCATATACTCCACAATAAAACTACTACGGGTTAATTTATATTCCGCATTTACAGCCTTTTTGGTTGTAAAGTAAGAGGCTATGGCAAATGGTTTGTGGAGTAATACCAGCGATAGGTTTGACTTGTTTTGCCCCTTGAGTGTCTTAAAATGTTTATGGTCCGGCAATGAATTACCTAGCCCGCAGTTCCTTGAAATCCTTCCGAACCATATGTGTAGCATTTGAACATATAATTAGAGATTCACTCTGGTCTTAGACTAAGTCTAAGAGCCAAATTAAAAAAAAGTAGGAACGCCCAGAACCACCAAAAACAAGAGAGAAATCTAACTTCGATTTCACAGATATGAATTAAAGTAAAACAAAAGATTAGCTTGAAACAAACAATTTGCGAAAAGAAAAATGAAATGGCTGTTATCGCGATTTGTTCACTAGAATATGTGAAGTCCAGGCGTTCAAATCTACGACGCGTAAATTATCATATTCATGCCTGAGTGACCGCTTCCGGGTTCTGATTGAAAAAATAGCGGCGGCAAATTCAGAGACAATCTTGCTTCAAACAGAAAACCTGCCAGGTTGACTCGCTTGAATAAGTTGCCTGTCATTAGGAGAGGTTCCCACCAATTAAATGCATAAAAATCCAATGATAATATTTTGCATTAATGCCAAGTGTTCCACAAAAAATACTGTTTTTGCTTTGCTGCAGCCCTGAACAAAGTCTGAACGAACATGGGATTTCACTTTGAAGTTGCCCAAAGTCAACTTTTTCTAGATCGGAATTTATGCAAAACTTCATAAAGATAAAGGCCAATTATGAATATGAGGAGGAGGAGCTCCTGCAAGATTCCTGCAATTCAAGTGTAAATTATTGCCAGAAATCAAATTCTATTTCACTTCCATAACATGTTACTTAGACACAGAGGCTTCACAGGAATCAGTAGCGATTTAAGTAATTGTAACTCTGATTACTTTCAACTTCGTCAAGAGTTTTAAGTGAGGCAGCTTCAAGGTGACAAAACAGTCGAATTTGAGATGAAAACCATTTTTTCAGGTTATATTGTGACTCCTTTGATATTTCCCACGAAAATACAAATCAAAGCTCACAGTTGAAAATTTAATTCACCTGCAAGCCTTTTTTTGTCAAGTTACGGGGGTTTCAGAAAGGCCAATTAGGGATGACAAATAAGTGCAAAATTTCCAATGACATTTTTTAAAATATATATCAGGCCTACTAAAAAGAGTCAGACCACCATTCAGGGCCTCGCTCCGACACTAGGAGTCTTGTTTTACTTAAGAACGAATTATGATATTTTCTAACAATTTTGTATGCGACTTCGTAAACCGAAGTTATTTTCTCCTGTTTAAAACAAATGACACACGTTTAATTAACTACAAACTAAGTCTTTTCTTTCGACATTGAAAATGGATAGGAACTTTTGTCTTCAGAATTGTTTTAAATTTAGATCCGACCATTGAAAATGGTATTCGAGTAAGTGTTAGTTTTTTTCTTCAATTGTTTTGTTCCACAAAAAACAGGTACGACAAATAATCATCAGAATGGTTCGAACGATAAACTGTATTAAGGCCCTTTAGCCGTGATTCGAATGACAATTTAAAAATAAAGTTACCAAAGTCAAAAAATCGTTTTGAATTTTCGAATTTTAGACTAAATTCGAACGAGTCAACCGAGTTTAACTTTGAGCGAATGTAATTTCGAACGTTCGTTAAAAAAATGCTCATTTAGGCTAAAAAAATTAATTCTACTAAACAAAAACTAGTTTTAGAAGCTTCGATTAGCGCATCGTCGACAACAAAAGGTTTCTAAAAAAAATTACAAAATTATTGTTAAGAAAATATGGATTCATTTTAGGAGACAACTGTTGTCAATTATGCCTAATTACTAACTTTCTACGCGATTGACTAGTTCTCTCATCACATCACGCACACAAAACGTTATTTATTTGAAGAAAAATTTACCTATTTTTTGTACTCTTTTGAATGTGGTCAGAACATTCTGTGCTACTTGCACATCAACCGGCTATTGTTGTGTTCCTTTTTTTATTGTTTTCCACAATAAATAGGTGCCACATAAATAATCGGAGTGGGTCCCTTTGATAAAAAACACTTTTGGTCGGAATTCAAACGATTAAAAAATTACAATAAAAAGGTCGAGAAAAACCGGTTTATAAACTTTAATTTTTAGTCTTATTTCGAGCGAGTTAACAAGCTAGTGAGATCTTATGAAAAACTTAATGATCTAAATTTTAGCAATCAGAATAATTCGTGAAATATTAGTTTACTCCAGTAAAGTTAAGTTTCCGAATTTCTCTAAGCGCCTCTTCAGAGAACTTTTTTGAAAAAAAAATTAAAAGTTTTCTGCAAAAAAGTAGAAAAGTTTTTAGAATTTTTAGTAATTTATCTATCGAATATGCCTAATTTAGTAATAATATCATATGTAACTAAATTATAGGCTTATTTTTAGTTTTTTTATGAATGATATTGTAACATTTCGTGCTAATTGCACAACAACGGGTTGCTCTTTTTATAACGTCTATTTTTCGATGTTGTTCATGTGTTCCTAAAAAATCAGAAACAAGTAGTTCTGAGTCGTTTTTCTTCCGACCACTGTAAACATTTCGAAACAAATTTGAAAACTCAGTGTCGAGGAAAACTGGTACGAAATTTTTGCTTTTTCTTCTTTTTACTACAAAGAAAACTACGTAAATAATCCAAAACTTTCTGATTTTTTTCCGAAAAAAGTAAGCTTAAAATTAAAAAAACTGAAGAAAATTTGAAAGAGTATTAGAAACCACTTTGGATTTTTTTTCATTTTATTTAATTTTAGAAGACATCTGTAGTCGTTTAAGGGCAACTCCAATGTTCTAACACAAAAAAATACCTAAATTTAAATAAATATGGCTTAAACATTATGTAATACAACCGGCTACGTTTGATTAGAGTTTTAAATTGTCACACAATTTGTTAGCATTTTTTTTACAGATGCTATTAAAAGTTAGCTATTGCACGTAAAAAACCTTTAAAATTTCAGCAGTACGATATAAAAAGACTGCTCATATATGATGATAAACATTTTATTGCTCCAAAGTCCCCATACGATATAAAAAGACTGCTCGTATATGACGACAAAAATTTTGTTGCTCCAAAATCCCCTAAAGCTGAAGAAAAGTTATAAAATCGATAAAATAATCGACAAAAAATGGGAAAAATGAAAATTGTTTTCATTTTAGTTTTTGTTCCGACTTTGTAACAAAATTAACGGAGTATTTGTGCTCGGGTGATTTTTTTTCAGATAAATTCCGACTTTTTAACTAGCCATTTTTGACGAAAATTTTAAAAAATCATTCAAAAATAGTGTTGTACTGAGCTTAAATTTGAAAAGATATTTTACTTGTGATCATTTTTCGTCTAATAAATCGTTCCAAATTGGTTGAAGTAAGCTTATTTGTCATGATTGATTTCTTCCTAGGAGTGAAATCTATCTATTTATTTTATTTTATTTGGCGTGTGGGGGGATGATTTTCACAGAAAATCTCAAACTTAAAAAACAATTTCATTTTTTTATTGCAATTCATTTTTTCAAAGTATTTCTGCTCCATAGACCTCTAAAATCAGTCAGAACATTCAGGGCTTCGCTCTGATACGAGCAGTCTTTTTTCTTTTTGTCTTCAACCAAAAAATGTTAAATACAAAGAAATATAATTAACGTTTAAGAAAGACCAAATTGTTGCCTTCGTTTCAATTTGGAATGATTTAACTCGCCGCTTACGCGAGTCATAAGAACGCGACATATCGCGCAATAATTATTCCAAATCAATCAAACTTTCAAACCCCCCATAGTTTTACAAAATTATGTGAACTAATCCCTCCCTCACTCCCTCCTCCCTCCCCCTCCCCAAACGAAGTTCAACCCCCTCACCATCACTTTCCACGACATGTTTATAACCGCTTGAAAATAGTTTAAATGATATGAAAGCCTGCCCAAGATTCTCCAACAACTGATGAACACCAAAATTCATAAACTCAAAACTCAAAACGTTCTTCCACAGTGAAAAAAAATCACTAAAAATGATGCTATGAAAGCCGACTTTTTTCTGTGCGTTAATTGAGAAAAACAACAATTTTCGGTACTCAGATACAAAATTAGAGCACCAATCCGGGTAATTAGCTTTCTTCTCGACACACAAAGAAAATAAACTTCAGTCGGTCAATTAGTTGCGTTATATGCAAACATTAACCATCTGCTTGCGTTTGATAACTTCGTTTGTAGCGTTTTTGCTTGGGGGAGATGCCTCAATTGGTCATTAAGGGGGGGGGGGGAGATTTTTTGAAAAACTGTCAAAAACGTTTTGTTTAAAGTTCGACTGAATAAAAAAACCACCCGCAGCATAAATATTCCGTCACTTTCTTCGAAAGTTGGAACAAAAGTGTCCTTTAGATTTTATAAGGAAAATACATCGTTAACCATTCGAAACTTTCTACGAACTTCGGGTGGAAAGGACTCCTCGTAGGAACCATATAAAAGTTTGCATAGGTGCTTCTAAAATAGTTCTAAGCTAAGCTAAATTAGTTTCATAAATAAATCATCGTCATAAAGCTAATGACATCTTTGTCACTTATAAGTCAACTTTGCTATCTCAGAGTTCAATAGTTGACAATCTGAAGGCTCGCCAGATAATGAAGCCATACTTCACTTTTTCGCGACTGCATTTGCGATTCATCGATGATAGCAAATGTCATTAAAATAAATGATCATAAAGAAACAACTTTGATTGATCATGCTCTCATTAGATGAATTGAAAAATGCCGACAGCAAGTAACTGATCAAGAAATTTGATGCAAATCGAGTTTTCAGCTACATCATTTTAGGCAAGTCAAAGCATCTATGCCCTGGCCAAAAAAATGACGTAAATAAGTCGTTAAAACATTGATAATATTCGACATAACTACCTGTTGGCTAGTTGGAAGGATACATAGAGCAATGCAAGAAAAGATCGAAAGAAACAATCGGAAGCAATGCAAACCCGCGAAATATGAAAAACAACCGACAAAAACCACTCAAAAGAGAAACTCGAAAACGTATCAACTAACGCCTCTGAGAACAAGGAGG